TCGTTTCAATATGTCACACAAACAATATTTCTAGAAATAACAAGGTCTCGTAGCTTTGGTGTATTCTTCATAAAAGACCATATTCTATTATTATTGCATGTTCAATTTTTAAAATTCTGAAAACATGACACATTTATTTCTTTTATACAAATGGATTTTTTTTAATTTTGAAAAATGGTTCGAGATCACAGAATATGTCTTTACAACATTCCAACGTCATCTTTTAAACAAATTTATTTATTAACATTGATGTGCTTTTTATATTGGAAATGTAATTTTGTCAGTAGTACAGTGTTGAGGAAAAATAATCAATGTAATTTTGTTTGATCTGGAACAAAAACCGAGTATAAGGCCCCGGACCAAAATTGAGTTTTTTGCATAATACAGTTGGAACTCGATAAAACGGAACTCGATAAAACGAATTCTTGTTATAATAAAGTTTTTCTAGTTTACCAATTCATTTATAATAAAATCAACTGATAGGGCGAAGATTCCTATTGTTTAAGAAGATGTTTTCATATGGTTCCATATATAGTAAACTATAACTTGACAAGAAGAATAATATCACTTTATTCTACAATTTTAATAAATGATTTATAGTAGTGGTAGTACGTATTGTTCCCCAAATTAAAAATGAAAAAAATCCAAATCTTCCTCCTGTCATTGCAGCCTGGACAAGAACAGAAGGAAAAACACTTCCATGCTGGTGAAAAGAAAACCATTTGCGAATTTCGATTGACCATATAGTTTTTTTCTGTCAAAGAGTGCAAGAGAGAAGGAGTATGAGAGTATTTCAATTCAGACTAATGTTGTTTGATGAAGTGTTACCAAAATAGTAAAACTGTTATGTCAAATTCACTGCCATTATATCAAAAATGACAAGTAAAATTGCTTGTATGGCTAAAAATATATATTCTTTGATTTTTTATTTTATATTTTTTTTTTGTGTCTCCTTTGTTTCATCAGTTGTAGCTAAACTTTTGTGATTGAATCATTATTTTATCAAGTAAAATTAATCTTTAATAAACTTTCGAAAATAAAAACATTGTCTTTATTTTCTTTGTTTAAAGCGCTTTGATAAAAGCAACAAGTGTAATGCCTCGGTAAACTGTGGAACTTTGGTAAAAAGCCACGTTTTATTTCTTTAATGAGCAAGGTTATGAGTGTTAACAATGGTTAGTAACGTAATTTGCTTTAGTGATAGGACTAACGTTGGTTAACTCGTGAGAGTTAATGAAGTGTTGTTCAATGGTTAATAAGAAATACTGATGGCATTATTATAATCGTAAACATGAGGCTGCTAAACAAGCTACTTAAAGTTATTTTGCAAATAAACCAAAGAGAGTTTGCAATCGGCCAATAAATATAAACAAGGGTAAACGACTGAAATAAATTGACCACAAGAAACTTTATAGAAGCCTCGAGCTTTGTAAAAGTAAATTCGTAAACTAATTACACAGTGAATTTCGATTTCGTAGATAATTTGGGCAATTAAGGAAAATTTTCCAAAAATCCGTTAAACTGAGGTATCCGCTATATCAAGAAGGTTTTTATTAAGGTTTATTATGAAACCGTTCTCTGGACTTTATCTGTAAAACTGAGATTTTTAATTAGTATCCACTAAATCGAGTTCACTGTGTAATTGACAAGCACTGAATTATTGTGAGTTGTTAGCAATTAACTGACAAAAGTAGACCAAAAGTTAAGCCGTAATCAGCATTAATCAAAAGCTACTTTAAATATTACCATTTAACAAGAATCGGAAAACTGTAAAAAGTTTATTACTTCAAAATAATTTAGCTTTAAGAAATGAAATAAAGATAAAATAAAAAGATAAATAATTATAACAA